ACGACGCTTCCCCCCCTGATTCCCGTGGTTCTTTCGATCCTGGATTTCTCTTGAAACCAGTCGCCGAACGTTACTCAACTTGATACTAAAAACGGTGACCAGACGAATTATATTGCGTTATCCTCTTGCCCTGCGATTTTCTTGACGAATTACGTTATTGTCGATAGTTCCAGAGAAACGAAAGGAATTCTGCATTTATCACAACTGTATTTTCATTGTAAAAGTTATATATTAATGCCATGAATAATATTCTTCTTTGTTGAATCGATTTTGAAATCGAAACAGTCTGACTCGATATTATAGGGCAAATGGTTAAGACACACCCCCTCCCGAAATAGGATTCGATTTCTGCGCGATTTCATTATGATAAGTGTCCTGCGATCGAACGATTCGAACATGTTTTATCGACGTTCCGTTGCGAAAATTCCCGTCTAACCAGTGGCGACGATTCCGTCACGGAACCAAATGGAATTTCCTCGATGCAGACCCGATAGTCTTCCAACATCCTTCGCGCACGCGATAAATCGTCGTAAGGACACTGAAGGACGCTGTGACGTTGTTTTCCTCGTCTGTTGGAGTTACGAAGAATTCCACAATGAAAGGATAAACAGGAAAAAGTGTGATTGTGGTTGTATCCTCTGGTTGTACCTTCGGTTTGGAATTGAAACAAAAGAAAAAACCGCAGGTATACCTCAGACAGATAACCTGGGAATACGTGTTTCGATAAGCCAGAAATATGTACTTAATTTTTCGTAAACGAGTTTAAGTAAGACCACGAATATAATGGCGACCTTGGAATCTGATTGTAATTGCAAGTTAATGGAGGTTCCGAACGCGTTAATTACAGCTTGTCGAACTTCTCGGTATTACACGTATGCTCAAATATTTTGCGGTACCCGTCTGTGGCTTTGTGTGCGTTGATCGAAGTATCATTCAAATTTCGAACTAAATCGCTAAGACCACTTAACCTAACTCATACACAGTCAATTCGAAAATAATTAATATTTGTCGAGTTAAATTTACTTTTACGAACACGATCATATCTTGGCTACTGTAATCATGTTCGCGGTTTAAAACATAACAAGAAAAAGTATAAACTAGTGTAAGATATATATTTTACAATGTCCGATCGTAATCTCATTTGAAAGTTTGTAAATTTCCCTCGAAATTCCCCCAATTCAAACTCCGTCAATGCGAACATTTTCTAACCCCACTTCCGCCCCCTAGTACAATTACACATTTCATACAATGCTACTGAATAAAACAAGCACATGTGTCACTAACGATAGAAAATATTTTAAACAAATGAAACTTTCATTAGCTCGCAAAAGGATCCAAAGGATCGTCGTAGAATTCAAGTAAATGAAAACACTAGCGGGTACGAGAAGACCCAGAAGGAAGTGTTAAAAATCCAGCAATGCTGTCCCACAGGCGTGACACTCCTTTGTCTCTGGAAACCGCGAGAAACACAGAAACACGTTTGAACCTAAATATCGTTTACGAGGCGCTCCACCAACGACGCGCCAGTGATCCTTTCGCTGACATTCCGAATTACTCGATGACAGAAAAGAAACGAGCAGTGTACTCACTGTAAGGTGGTTTCTCAGTTTCCCAGATCAACGTGCCGCGATGAAAGTAGACCCTGCACCGTTTCTTTTTCACCACGAACGTGTTCAGGAGCACAGTCCTGGAGGACTGGTCTGTGATCTCCTGCATCATCCTGACGAACGTTTTAGGCAATTCACGGGGGGAGATCCTTCAACGGTGAATCCCCCGAAGCCTCATCACTCTGACAGACCACGAGAAAATTGTCACGGGAATCGAAGAAACACTCGCGAACACCGTACAAACAACACACTACCAACCTCTAATGCCCGGTCTGCGGCTCGAGCACAACTGCGATTATCGCAGTGCGATAGGCACGATCGACTCCAACGGGAGTCGTGTCAAACCGTGGACACTCGGCTTTCCCTTGGTGAAGGTACACCGAGTCACAGAGAGAGGGCCACCAATGGCTCGAACACGGATAAAGAGCCCCCACCACGAACGGTTACTGTGCGTGACAGAGTACCCGTAAGTATATATGTTCTGAAAATGATTCGTGGCGCCATCTACGGCAAAACGTCAAAGCTACTAGTCAATTAGTATCATCAATATTAAGGTACACCACATTTGAGAATTCCGAGGCAAAACATCACCTTAGAAAAACGTCTACATAATTGCAATTCACGTAATTTTCTTTAATATACACTGTATGTATAGATAACCTCCCATTTTTGTTTATAACATACGTCGGAAATGTGCAGTTTAAGACAAATGTATTTACATACGTAATAAACTGCTGCGGATGTTTATGTAAATTTTCAACATCACAGAATAATTAGTAAAAATGAGAATTGAAGAAACTGAATTACAGTATTAATGGTCTCTTTAATATTGAAATAACAATATGCGAAAACTTTTCCTACAACTCTGTCTTCATAATATTCAAAACATATCAGACCTAAAATATGGCTAAACACATACAATTTTATGTACGAACAATAGGACGCCGTCATGTTTCCTTATTCTCCCTACCATCTTGCGTTGCCTCTGTGGTAGTTTCATAGTTCGCGAAAGAAATTGAAAAAATAGCTAAACAAAAAATTTACATACCATGCATTTTCTAGTCTCGGTTGAGAATCACTGAGAAATGTCCATTGGTCGACAAAGACGTGGCGGTACGTTCGAGTCAACGGAAGATCCTAATGAAAATGAGGCGTAGTTTGCGCCAAAAGATTCGACTGTTTCCGGTTAACCAGACGAAAAGAACCGAATCGTTGTTCCAGAATTCTGCACACAGGTGTACACACATGATATAAATGAGTCCGTAATCGCGTTACCATTTATGGATGAATTATCTTTGTATAGAGATGGGGAAATAATCTATTGTGCAAATAAAAAGAACAGTAACAAAGAACAGTATACGTTTCGAATGATTAATTACATACATGTATTTATGTAGCAGTCTAGTCGCCTATAAATGTAATAAAATTGTTCTGATCTTCATTCACTGAGCTATACTTTGTGTCTACAAAATAATCGCAAACAGAATCGCCCACCTACCCTTGGATCAATGGAAATAAAATATGAATGACCATATTTGATGACCGTTAAGTGAGACACGTCTGGAATATTGTCTATTTCATCCTTTGCACAATTTGTTCTTTAAAAAATACGTATTTGAACCACAATTGCATGTATAATTCCAGTAGCAGTTCAGATACATACAAAAAAAGAAATGACAATTGGAAGGCACAGATGTCTACTTGTACCTCGATCGACTAAATACTTTTTACTCAGATTGTACCTTCATTGGCGTACGTTCAAAAATATTTTTCGCGGTGCATAATTCTCGTTAACCATGTTAACTAACAAGAGTGTAGAGGAAATGTAATTCAATACCTAGCTAGCTAGAAATGCGTATAAACATACTTCTGTGACTAGTCACATATATTTCACAATGTTTTAATACAAGATTTCATACCAGAATATAGAATATATCAAGCTTCGTATTGTGCTTAGCGAATAATACGTAAAATGATACCGGCTTTAAGTCTCAGATTTACTTTAAATCTCACATCATCATGATATTTCTCCATTCGATCCGAAGCTAACCATGCGTTAAACTGTGTAACTGCCTGGTCAATTACCGTGCATCATGATTCAACCACCAGAAGCAAAAAGAAGTATAGCTGGTCAGGGCTCGAACTTATCAAGAGTAAAGTGTATATGCGTCACAAAGGCACACTTGTCGCGTCGGTTGCGACGAAACGTAGAGGAGACGCCGATGTGCGACACGGGGAAAGCGTCGTTCTAACGACGTTCCTGACGACGATACGGCGAATACGCATGCGTCGATTCGAAAGGACCAATGAAATTAGTGCAACACCATGGAAGGGACATCGGGGGGGCTCTTGGTGGCCTTGCGCGTTCTTCCGATTCCGTGGAAGCAGGAGGCACGTCCATTTTGCCAGCACGTACGATCCCGGTTAGTCGACGCCGGTGCGAAGTATAATTCCCGTTCGCGACGAGTTCGTGTTGCCGGGCCAGTGACTGTCTGTCGGCGGCGTTCTTGGTTTCACGGTCACGAGATAGTACAGAGAGCGCGCGCGTGAGAACCTGTTACTCAGTGAATATCGCCAACGGAAGCCGTCGTCGGAGAATCGTTGTCGCAGGGCCGCGAAACACGTCGCGTACCCGGTTCGTAGATTCACTTTTAGCAAGATATGGCGGAGCTACAGGGAACCCCGGTCTCCCAGGACGCCCTGGCCGTGGCTCAGTTGGAACTCGGAGGAAATCCGAACGCCTTGGCGTTGCGTAGGCCATTCGACCCCGTGGCACATGATCTGGACGCAACCTTCCGCCTTACGCGGTTCGCCGACCTAAAAGGATGAGGGTGTAAAGTCCCTCAGGAGGTTCTTGGGAAACTCCTTGAGGGACTACAGGCCGACGATGGTAGCGCACAGGATCATGAGCATGCCCACTTTATGCACATGGCCATTCCACGCATCGGTGAGTATATCGGATTGCTGTTTTATTGCACGCGTGCACGGATACCTTGATCAGCCGACATGTTTGATTTTCTGTTGAGCGTCTATTTTCTTTTCTGTTTCTTATATATGGGCATATTTTTTTTCTGTTTGAACATTGCATTTTTTTTTACAAGTTTTTCTTCAGGTGTTTCAATGCACTTTTAAGATAGTCCGGCGGAATGTAAATAAAATAAAAATTGTGTTGATCATTTGTAAAAATTGTACCAGTTAAGTAATTTCTTGTATTTGATGGTATTTATACAGTACAGTTATTTTCTTTGTAATGATGTGATTATGTTGATTTGGAGGATTTGTTTATTTATCGAGAGTATTTTAAAAGTATAAACAAACTAGTGTGAAATTGACAATGCTCTGGGCGCCAAAGTCACGATGCTCAGCCCTATTGTACCGGCAGCCATGTTTTCGTCTCCCGCCCGATTTCTCCCACGCCACCGGAAGTATAAGTGTTCTCAACTTCTTGAGATCCAGCGGCGTAATCAAAATATACGACGCCCGCCAATTTTCCATGATAACAAAAAATTAGTTCTATAAAAATTAACTTATAATAAACATTTCGTGAGAGTCAAATGTTGTATTGCTCTAACTAGATTGTGAACATTTTTCTAATTAAACATTTCACATAAAAATTTATACATATCTTCTGTTAATCCATTCAATCCCAATTTCTTATTTTTACTCTAAAATCTAATTATATTTAGATTATGACATATAATTCTCAAATTGATAATATATTTTATTTTTGTGTTTAAGGTATTGGTATGGATTCCTCCGTGACTCCACTGAGACACGGTGGACTGAGTTTGGTGCAGACCACAGACTTCTTCTACCCACTTGTGGATGATCCATACATGATGGGTAAGACATACATAATAAGGAACATTAGTAAAGAACTTTTTTTTCAACGGCTGGAATCTTTCTTTGGAAGTTCCATAAGTCCTGTAATCCGAGTAATATTTATGTTTCCTTTGTTAAGGATAAAATTTGTTATATGGCATCCTGTTTGACCACTGCTATTGGAGTACTTTTCCAGGTAAAATTGCATGCGCTAATGTTATCAGCGATTTGTACGCCATGGGTGTTACGGAGTGTGACAATATGTTAATGTTGCTGGGAGTCAGTACAAAGATGACTGAAAAGGAACGGGACGTTGTTGTTCCTTTGATCATGAGAGGGTTTAAAGATTCTGCCTTGGAAGCTGGCACAACAGTGACAGGAGGTCAAACAGTTGTTAATCCTTGGTGTACAATAGGTGGTGTTGCATCCACTGTTTGTCAGCCAAACGAATACATTGTGTATGTATCATAATGTACATTAGATATGTTACTGCACATCCAACTTCCACAACATCTTTCCAGAATAATCTTCTTTATCGATCTAGCCCAGATAATGCAGTAGTTGGCGATGTTCTTGTGTTGACAAAACCCCTTGGAACCCAAGTAGCTGTCAATGCTCATCAGTGGTTAGACCAACCAGATCGTTGGAACAGAATCAAACTTGTGGTTAGTGAAGACGATGTGAGAAAAGCTTATCAGAGGGCAATGGACAGCATGGCCAGGTTGAACAGAATAGGTGAATGGTTATCGAAATTCACAGTTACGGAAAAAATATCGAGATACTGACTGATCTTTTTCGTTCACTAATAGCGGCCAGATTAATGCACAAGTATAATGCACATGGAGCAACAGATGTCACAGGCTTTGGACTTTTGGGACACGCACAAAATTTGGCCAAACACCAGAAGAACGAAGTCTCCTTTGTTATTCACAATTTACCTGTTATAGCTAAAATGGCAGCTGTCGCGAAAGCGTGTGGTAATATGTTCCAATTACTTCAAGGTCACTCGGCAGAAACAAGCGGAGGATTGCTTATTTGCCTACCGAGAGAACAGGTGTGTAACATCGTACTTTGTAGATAGACTAAGCGAATTGTGAAAAAACGAGACAGAATTTATTTTCTGCGTCACATAAATTGTTCTGTACAAGCCCTGCTATTACAGTAAAGTATGTTACACATGATTGCATACTTTAAAGAACGGCAGGGAGAGAAACAGAGATTTCCATGCCAATTTGCGACTTTCGCATTTTGGTGCTGTCAACTCTCTTACACATATTTGAACTATTCCCAATACTTTGTCCTGGAAACATTTTTTGCTCGTCGAATTTTGATTTGTAAATTATTTCCAGGCTGCGGCGTATTGCAAAGATATCGAAAAACAAGAAGGATATCAGGCATGGATTATCGGTATCGTAGAGAAAGGAAACCGCACAGCCAGAATAATCGATAAGCCGCGAGTGATAGAAGTTCCAGCTAAGGAGAAGGACGGCGAACTCTGGTAAAGGGTCGAATGTCATCGTCCCTTTATTCGCAGACATGTATTTAGAGAATATCACGGACAACACGCATTTACACATGAAAACACTTCACGGATTCAGAGCACTAACGCGTGTGCGCACTGTATTACAAAGTTTCTTTTCTCTAGATAGGAAAGTATTGAGGAAGAACGCATTTCATAACAGTTTCGATTACACTTTCGTTCCATGGGTTAAAAACGTGATATATAACAATAATGACTTTTAATTATACGTTGTCTTTATCAAAGTTTACTGAATTTACAGTTCTTTATTTTTCTTTGTAACTGTCGAAAGTTAAAAAAAAATATCTTTTAAATGTTCCTAGCTGTCTTCCAGGCAGCTATGAACGGTTATCGAAGAATTTCATGATGAAGAAACATGGGGGAAGCAATTTAACAGAAACAGTTAAAGAGCTTAGATATAGTCTTTCTAAAGTCAAGACTAAATACGTGTAAGTATAGCCTCGGGTAGCACTAGGCTAAGCTTTCAACTTGCATTGGATCAAACTGGCAATACACGTTGAGTGACATTTGGGTGCTTAGCGTTACAAAGAATGGTTGATTAAGGTACACAAGAATGATAGTGATTACAAAAGGTCTATAAATATATTTTAAGGGGGTATGCCGCATAACGAAACGTTTTAAAAAGCGAACAAATTGTACATTACACGAAACTATGACTTACAAATAGGGACGAACAGATGAGTCACAGACACTACAGATTGGAAAGTTGTAAACCAAGACATTACTACCCCGTAGTACTCAATGACAGGCATTCGACATCAACGAGATATCCACGATTTGTAATCCTGATCTATTGTTATATAGAATGCCTATAAGATGTCCAAATGTAAGATAAGGCCTTCTCTAGTTCTCTCGTTACATACGCTTTTGAAAATAATTATTAAAAAAAAAAAAAAGAAGATTACAAAAAATCGAGCACAGGCCCTAATGTTGTATTACTTTTTCATATGAATAAAGTGCTACTTTGTCAATAAAATTCAATGTGTTGTCATAAACATAATATACCTATACGAAACCTAAAGCAAAACCTACATTTATTCATCTGTCTTATCTTGAAATAAGATTCAATTGAAAAGTGTTTATCTCAATCGCCACTTCCCATGAGAATAAAAACGCGTTTCGCGCCAATTTGCAGGATTGCGAAACACAACAAAGTGTTTGCATCATAGTTCTCTACGCATGTGTTCGGTCTTCAATGTTTATCCCAAGGCAGCCAACACACTGACAATTAAAAAACCTAGGACATGTTCATTCATTGGCCTATCGCCTTGTCAGTGTACTCGGGTAACTGGTCGTGTAATCACGACTCAGGTCACCCACTATAGTTCGACCGCAATATATTTTCTCTCTTGCACAGTGATAGATATTGTTCTCGTTTAAACGTTCGCCGACCGACGTAGACGTATCAAAAGGGGATAAAGGAGTTCAACCACGAGACGTGTTTCCACTTGGTGTTTCAAATTTCTTGCTTCAAAGGAACGATTTAATGGTAGCGCGATCCACGTGGTGTTTCAAGGCTGCGGCCTTCAGGGCCGTGATACTGGGTGCCCCTGCGTCTGGCAAAGGGACCATGTCCTCCAGAATTGTCAAACATTTTAAAGTGGCGCACATTTCTAGTGGTGACAAGTTGCGTCATCACATGAACAGTGGCACCGGTACGTGCAGAAATCATGAATCTGTTCGTTACTCTTTCTTTAATTATGTCAACGAAAACCCGGAACAAGTCTTTGGTTGCCTCTACGATTTTAATACTCCTAAATACTGTCGATATTGTGAGGAACATTTTTGGGTTCTAAGCAGGTGTCTTGCTTGGAATTGTTCCTTCGGTATTGCCTATTATCAGGTTACCACTCATTTGTTTACTGATTTCTTGTTTTACTTGAGAATTCGATATTAAGTTACGAATCGTAATCCGAGATTATGATAGAAGTGACACTGTTTTTTTCTCTATTTTTTCCTCGATTCTTGAATGAAAAGTAATGCATACAGTTGAATCTTGTTTAAAATTACGATTAATGTAGATAATTGCAATCGACGAAGGCGTTTTCACGGGATTTCGTTTGATTTACTGTAAACTACATCATTTAGACAAGCCTCTCTGTCATGGAGATAGTTAAATTGAACACGATTAGATAGTCCCCTACTCTTGATATTATTTTGAAGGATGTTCTTATCAATTCATTCACCCTATTTACAAACATCGAAGTTAAATGAACGTTACATTAAGTTTGTTTATAAAGTATCGCCACGGTTAAAGAACACAATTTCATTTCTTTTTAATTATGAAAGATAGGATTCTTTAACTGTTGGTCTAAAAACAAATAATATTTATGCTTAAAACAAAACCCAATGTTAACTACCGAGTCACTTTCGATGCATGAACGCGTATTCTTATCGTTCGTGCCAAAGTCCAACGTATGTAGCATTAATTAACAGGAAACCAGTTGAACCGTAACTGTAATGAAAAGAATTTATTTCCAATAATACAGAACTTGGTAAAACGGTGGCAAGCTACGTGCTGACCGGTAAATACGTTCCCGACGATGTGATTATCTCGATGATAAACATAGAAATCGAACGAGTAGGAGACAAAAATTGGCTGTTGGACGGTGAGTGATAGGATAAAATTGTATTCACGACGTGTTTGCGGTGACCGTGAATGTAGGACCACTACGCGCTAGCAATCAAATTTGACTAAATAGTTGGCATTGGTACAGGATTCCCGAGAACGTTGCTGCAAACTGAAGAACTGCAGAAAGCTCATCCCGTGAACCTTGTCCTTTACCTTGATGTGCCGATCCCGACAATCCTGGAACGCGTGAAGAACAGGTGGGTTCATTTGCCCAGTGGCAGAGTCTACAACGTCGGCTTCAATAGTCCGAAAGTACCGGTAAGTTGGAACCGGAAGTACCCATTTCTACCTCAAAGATGGTATTGTTGGCACTGTACTCAATGGAATCTTAATCGAATGCCTGAAACTTCCTTCTTAACTTAAATATCAAGTGTTTGCTAAACAAGCATTACTTTTCTAACAGGGTAAGGATGACGTAACTGGTGAACCGTTGAGCAAAAGAGACGACGACAAGGTAGAGATTGTACAAAAAAGACTGGAACAGTATGCAAAGGCAAACGAACCGATTTTAACCTTCTACGAAGGTTTAGGGATACTGAACACTTTTCGCGGTAATACTACCGACGAATTATGGCCACACGTTAAGGATACCATCACGAAATTTTTATCATAGCTAGTCAATTGCTAGAACATATCACTTTGTAAAACAACGAAAGATGAATTAGATGGAAATTGAAATTCATAGTGATGTTATATGTTTAACAACAAGATTCAATAATTCGCACTTTTGCATGCGCACACATATCTGTGAATTGAATGAATGTATATGCAAAACGGGAAAGGTTACTATTTTTCTGTAATGTTTTTATATAAGTATATAACGATTGCCATATAATTTAAACGTTTCCGATCAATACAGTACAAAGTTTTCCAGCTTGTAAGTATATACAATTTCCACTTGTTTTGTAAAACAATGTATTTGACACTACATCTTAACTTTCTGTAATTAGATGCAGATCGTACAATGACACTGTCATATTTGATTTGACATGTTATTTTGTGATCATGAAAGAGACAAAAAAATCGAACAGTAAGTTAGAACAAAGTTGCCACTTATAAATACGTTAATTCACATAAGTTAAAGGTGAGTTAAATTCGTTATATTTTTATAAAAATTATTTATAAGTGTTGTATGTTGTAATACAGAAGAGATCAAAGAAATTAAAGCTAGGAAACAATTATCGGGCTTATATAATGCATACTCTGTTCTACTATATCTGTCTAATTGTAGTCTGTTAACAGTGTTGTAGAGAAAATAAACTGTATTTACGTTTGTAAAGAGGTAATAAATATTAAAAGTTAATTCTTATAGGTCTTTCAAAATTTATTTGTAACTGTACCGATATAGGAATTTTAACAATTTTTTAGCCGTGTACAGACCTTTAACAATATGAGTATAATATAGATTATATATCATGCTCACATTTTTATTTTCTTTTAATTCTCAAAAAAAAAATGAAGTCGTTCCTCAATAATAAGTAGTTAATTATATACATACACATTCCGTTAATCGCATATTTCTCTTTCATAACATAAAACGTTATGCTAGATGCAATGACAAGGCGCAATAACGCACGCGAACTTAGTATAAGTTCAGGATAATCGTCAGAGACAAGTACTAGTATATTAAATAAATAAATAATTTAGGATATTTCGTTACGAAAAAAATTGTGAAAATTAATTCATGTGTATCTAAATGTTTCTAAACGTAGACATGGTTTGGTATGCGAGGTGCACGTGTACACGTACATATTATGCTGAGTTGATCAACGAACAAATCAAATACGGTCATGTTGCAAGGAATTATAGTATTTCTGCATTACAAAATAAGTTATGTCAGGAACACTTCCTTAAGCAATTACGAAATGTTTATAAAAAGTACTCTTCATAGCAAAAATCGTCAACTTACGATCTACGCAAGTCTCGACGCAATCCACAACACGAACGCGTCAAATAAATATTCCCTCAACATGATCCTAGGATAATTATAAATCGTACGCTATATTAATATTCAACGATTGTTAAAAGCAATCATTTCTTCATTTTACCTTTTTTTCTTGAGATCAAACAACGCAAGTAAAACTTGTGCAACAACATATAAGAATATAAGAGCCGCATTAAGTTATGATCACAGAATTACGTGTCGACGAAGATAACGCTCTTTTAAGTCTACATAGTCTGCTTTTTATCACGAATGGAAAATATTTGATGTACTTATTCATGTCGTCTAATCGGCACGTTTAGATGTTAAGAACCGTTGTTTTTATTTTTCTTTGCGGCGAAAATTCAATTCGTAAAGTAATATTGAACGTCTAATATTATGCAAAGTTGCATCTACTGAATTTTCTTCCTTGTACATGCATGGACGAATGAAAGGAGAATTATGATTAATTTAACATTATCATCTTTCTCCGAGAACTATGACTGTCTCAATGTCTGAATGTCTATTCGGTAAACGTCTTACTGAACCAGTTCGAATTCTTCACACTCGTCAAGATCATCATCGTACGTTTCATTACCTGGAAAAGAGGTAGTGGGAGGGATATTTTCTGCAATTTCAATGTTTTGATGGAGATCTTTTCCGCTCCCTTCACAGAACAAAAACATAGGATAGTCGACCTTTTCATCTTCGGGCACCAAATACTGTAATATCAAAAACAGATTTGTTGGATATTCGAACCGACTGATCTAGGTCAGCGTATCTTTACAGGAAACAGTTATACATACGGAGGGAGCAATCTCCATAAAGTTTGTGAATTGCATTTTGTTATCGAAGTAAAATCCCACGCAACAGCTAGGATCCATTTTCGAAATCAACATTTTTCTTGGCGAAGTACAATGAAAACTCGTCAGAGGGAAATTGTCTTTTAATACGTCAACAGTTTCTTGACAATAATGTGGGTCTAGATTAATCAGTTTATCTTCCTGGAAGCCAATAAAGTAGAGCGAGTGTTTAGGTCGGCCACCAATAACTCCAATGCAGGTGTCTAACGTAAGTAAGTGTGTTAAACAAGATGCATAGACAGGATTCAGTTTGTCAGCACCAAGTCTTAAAGGTACAAAAAGTATAAGAGATTTCCATTTGCCATCTGGCGTTTGACATACATTCTCTATATCCTGCAGATAAACTGTAAGAGAATGATACAAATTAAGAGTCGAAATTACACATGGTGTACGATATACAGATCTACTTCAGGGATGGGAGCCAGTCTAATTTCTAATAGGAATCATTACAGACATAGCTCTAGACACAGCATAAATTATTACAAAACTTTGTACATCCACCCCTGAAATAAGTTTCGTGTTACTTTATCACCTGCACAATCTTGAGCAACATAAACAGCCATGTGACTGAATACTGGATGGTGTATCGCGGCATGGTCTATCGCTTGGCACAGGAGATGTGCAACTGAAGATGGCCCATACCAATCTCCTGCACGTTTTCCCCATAGTGCGCCCAGAGATACAAGCGTATGTATCGAGAATGGAGCTATACGTTCAGGTAGATCTCCGAATGATCTTATAATTAGTCTGTGATTATATTCGTCCAGTCTTTGTTGTTCTGTCTTTATTGGTTGATCTGGCTGCCATCGCCATTCTGTGATGAAATACTGCACTTAGCAACAATCATTACGTTACATTTATTGCGAAATATAAACAAGAAAATATGTGCCTCTTCCAAGAAAATGGCAAACGAGCGCCTGTGCCAACATCATTTGACCACTCCTTAACATACATCCCCAGCCACAGTCAGTGGTGAATGTAGATCCATTCAAAATGGGGAACTCTCTTCTGTATGTTAACCAAAGCCGGGACATAAAATCTTTCTTAAATTCTTCTATTCCATCTTCAAAACTGATGGCATCCATTGCTAAAGATATTTCGCTTCCTGTGTCCAATGTTTTCTCAGCCTCGGAAGCTTTTTCCAAAAACTCTTCTGGTTTTTTACGATAAATTCTCCCAAGTAAACATACTGGAGATTCTTTGGAGAAGTTTGGTTTCACCATTTTAATGGTCCAGCCTTCAAATAAGGTAATAAAGTATATCTAACTATTACTTTCTTCTATTGACCATTCAACTGAAACAGATGTTAGTACTACTAACCATATTTGACATTATTCCACATAGATAACAGTTTTGTCTTGACTTTGCTATCGACCTCTGTTGCAACATTGGAATCATCCATGGGTAATCCATTGTTTGCAGTGCCTAGCTGTATGTTTGGGACACGGTCTGTGGCAACCATTCCAGAAAACAATCCTGTTGTACTGCTACTAAAACCTCCTACGAACCAGAATGGTTTTTGATACACCAATATATCAGAAACTTCCTAGTGTTCTAAGATGCACCTGTTTAATGTTCAATCACTGCTAAACAATGCTTTGAAATCGAGTTATAAGTTCAATGTAAATAACAAAAGTTGTGACAACATTTTGATCTATCATAATTGATAAAGCTAAAACTTCATATATGTATATCTAGGCCTAACAATAGAATGTTATGAATATCACCATCAATCTTTACATGACAATGGATCTGCAATGCACGGTTTGGTAACTATGAACAACACTTGGAATATGAGCTACATGTCAATTAAATTCATAAGAAATGGCTTCAAAAATACAAAGTCACTGAATTGACAACGTTTTTCTTTTAAGCTATGTCATAAAAAAATATAAAAAAATATTCCTGCATTTCTCTTCTATATCTGTTATAACAACGGAAGATGGATATATAACCGTTTAAGACTATTTTTAGTAGAAACTGTTGACCATTAACGTCCAATATTCCAAGATTTGTTTATACTCACCAGTCCTTGAATTGCAATTACGATTTCGCTGAAGAAAGTTTCCAGTGAGTCACGATTAGTTCTTAGTATTTCCTTTTAACGCCTTAAAAGGAAACCGAGCGAGGAATGTATTTCCAAGTTGGAATTCGAAACGCGATGAAATCCCTTACCTAACCTCTCCCTGGAGGGCTGCACCTGTCCATTCATGCCCAACAAGTAAATCTTAGAAAGCATGCACTCCGACACATTTAAGTACCGCCGACGAAGAAGAAGAAGAAACCCAATCACATTTTCGTAAGAGCTGGATCACGCTGACGAGGCAACTCCGCGCATTTTCGTGCGCTTCGTTCCTTAAACCTCGTTCAGGAGAAAATAATCGAACGCGAATTATGCATCGGCGGATGCACGCGGCCAAACTCGCGCAAGGCTCGTTCACCACGGAACCTCGCTGTCAAACGGACGTCGCATTCTTTCGGCGAAAGTGAAATACCAGCTCCGTAAAACACTAAAAACGGAGAAAAAAAAAGAAACAAGATCCGTTGCCTTGAGAAACGCGAGACGGATCGTGAATAAACGCGACGACTGACGGAGGCGAACAGTATCGAAAATAAGTTTTAAAGAGACAGTGCGGAGGTGTGGATCGTGGTAGTAAAGGGACGCGTGTTTACAAAGACGCGTCGCATGTGAAATTTAAAGCGCCCGTTGAGAACGATACTGCCGCCGTCTGCTGGTAAATTTGAACACTGACAAGGTGCACGCGAATTGCATCAGTGGCACGCACGGATTCCGATGACCAAATCTGATTTCGAAATCGTATTATCTTATCAGACTGTGCACATACTCGAAAAGCTCTTAATCGTGCAATAAATAAGATGAAAAAAAAAAAGAAGAAACCATCGATATTATTGCTGAATTTTTTCTGTCTTTTTTTTTCTTTTCCTTCAACGTGAGATAAGAGTACTGTACATGTATACATTTGTCTTGTGAATCATTCTACATTTCTATGAGAACAATAACAAATATCGCTGTATCTCCCCTTAAGCCGCATTTTTAATTTCTATTCTGAAGAATTGTTGTCTTGTTCAATTAATCTAAATAAATAATTAATTAGCTTGACAAAAGTTGTATCTTTTTTCATCTGGGCCAGATTAGTTTGGTCATTCTTTTCCTTAATTTATAACTTCTCATTATTTTAATCATTCGCATCGTAAACTCTACAATATATTCCCGGTAATTGAAATTTATAATTTGTTTAATCGCCCGTAATACGCCACTAGAAACTGATCTTGAGTACTCCTTAAACAGCACCGCCATTCCGTTAATTAATACCATTTCCGTCGAGAGGCTAACAAACGGCGTACCCCTTTCACACGGAATTAAAAATCCCACGAGCTTGATAAAACCGAGTCGGTGGGTGCTCGACATTATATGAAATTACTAATTAAACTACGAATTTTTCGAACACTCGACACACATGAAAAAAATGTCGACTCTACTCCCGACCTCTTAACATTCGTTACAATCCTAATTTAACGAGTGATTCCAACAGGATCAAATCCTTTTTTTTTTACAAACATATATCCCCTTAATTAAAACTCTATGTCGCTCGAAATTCCTCCGTTAGAAAAAAAGGAGTGTCTCCTTTTATTAAACGGGGACCGTGAAATTCTCGTTCCAGTCACGACTTTTCCTCGGTCGTAAATAAAATCGCCGCCGAAAAGTGGAATGAAATTCTGGACCGCGGTTGGTGGGAACAGGATTAACGAAGAAATAATAGAGCGCAGCCGGGGTACATTATCCCCTTTCGACGTGGCGCAATAATGCACTTTAATCGGGTGTGGAGGGATGGTCGATCCGAAAGGGAAAATGGTGAGGGAGCGAAGGATGGAAGGATGGTCCGTGCGAAGAGACACAGAGAGTGAAACGGACGGTGTGTAAGTACCGTGTGTGTAATAGAGACAACCATTGGGGGTAGGGGGATGGGGGTGGGGTGACTGTCATGCGCGTCTTGTCGCGGAATAACCAATGAGATACGCGTATCCCGGCTTACCTCATTGATTACCACGTTCCCGCTCGTTCTAAATTTCGCATTGTGCCCGTTGTCGTCGCGAAATATGAATCGGCGTGATCACGGCCGGCAACCCAGCAGCACCCGTCGCGGAAGATTGATGGAAGGAAATGGAGCGACCCTGGGCTGTCAGGACAATAATCTCGCTCCTGCTTGTGTTGCATTAACAATAACACCCCTGGCAGGTGTATTGAAAAGCTTGGGGGTAAATCTTTGAAGGGGTTGGGAGGGGGTGGGGGAGAACGAAGAAAGATAGGGGTAAGGATGTTTCCCTAAAGCTATGCATAGGGTGGGGTGATACGATGTTAGGGGAGCTCGTTCTATCACAAGCGATCTATTACGTATATCCTTTTGTAGTTGCAGACACTGTATTCTTAATGGAAGTGGTAGTACAGTGTGATTGTTAAGGAGCTAAAGGACTCGTGGTTTCGAGTTCACCGAAACCATAGATTGTACACTGACGTGCAAACTCGGCTTCCTCTAAGAAAAAAAGTGACGCAATGGAAGGGCCTCCTATCACTTGGTAAATTTATTTCAGATACTGAAACAAATGTTAAATCGAAGGTTAATTTGGTATAAGTTTCAATAATTTCAAATACCAAGTGGTAGGAGCACGGTAGGAGGCCCTTACCCTACGTCACTTTTTCTCCTAGCGGAAACCGAGTTTTCACTTCTGTTTATTCTGTTCGGATTGATTCCAGGGAGGGATCCCCCCAGTGGTGGGGATAATGCCGTTGCTCGTGTGGCATTCGTCGAGGAATCACTGTAGCTTGTAGCTTCATTAGTTACATGCGAGCCCGAAACTTTTTGACGGTGATGTACGCGCAAATCCCGTGTGCACGATGCTAATCGAAGATTCGGCGATTGTAGGAAATGAACAAAGGGACACGCATAGCGGTGGATAATTATTTATGCAGCGAATAGAATCCACTGTTGTCCCGATGCTCGCTGGGTGGGTGGGCCGGGTCGGGCGAGGGTGGAGGTCGGGAATTAGGTCATGCAAGAATATCGACGGACCGACGTAATCACGGTTTGTACGATGCGAATAAGGATTATTAACTTTTAATGTTCCGGCGATCCACCGAAATTCGGGTCGACCGTTTCTCGGAGTTAACCGGACGGATGCTGGTGGATGAATCCTCGATGGCCTTGGGCGGTCGAATTTCGGTCCAAATGTGGAGAGAGATGGCATTAGATAAGAATGAGTAAATAGGGGACCAGTGGTTCCTCAGAAATCCGAGGATACATACAGGGTACGGCCGAATAACATATACTAGCGGGTACGAGGTGATTCCTTATGAAAAAATAACAACAAAATGTGGAATAAAATTTGTTCATTTAAGGCTTAGTTTTCGAGAAAATCGACTTCGAAAGTTAATCTGAAACGCGTGTATTCGATATAGTAGTAAGTAGAAACGGAATGCAATGAACAGACGCGCTGACCCAGTACTATTGAATTGCCCCCGTATCCAGTTGATTTTCAAAGTCGATTTTCTCGAAAACTAAACCCTAAATGAAAAAATTTATTTTTCACGATTCGGTAACTAAGAGAATCGTATTACTAATATTATAGCATCCCTTAACTTGTGAAAATGAAGTGAAATAAAGATACTAATATAGTTTAATATTATTTATCTGTTATTCTGAACGTAGTATAAGAACCATAATTCTACAACATTATAATTTTTCGATATATTATTTTTTAGAATTGTGAATTTGCATAAACTTCCGCAGTCTACTGCTATCGCTTCGATTAATTCCAACAATGAATACCTCAAGTTCAGTTGTTTCGCCTTTGAATTATTACCTGCTTCAAACGAGTACTCCAACGTCTAATTGCACCAAGAAATCTGATGCCTTCGTAGTAATATTATGGTAATATCATCAACTAGAATCCCACCATTTGTATCCTAATTTCTGGTACATCCTTTCTGCCGGGTAACATAGAGGGAGCATTTCATCCCCTGGGGGGGGGGGCATCATCAGAAATAGAACCTCCCTAATGGAAGAGCCAAGAGAGCGCACGACACAGAACAAACTGTTCCCCCGAGTCTCTGTTTTCTTCCCAAAGTTCTTCGGGGGGTGGGGGGATGAACGACTTCATCATCGACCATCTTCCCCCTATCAACAGCCTCCGTAAGCCCTCGGCGAAAACCCAAAGATTCATACGGGGGAACATCGTCGTTACACGAATGATAATTCCCATCGGATAGAGAGAGAGAGAGGACTCATTAGAGAAGCTATACATCCATAGGACACAGCAAGCGTGCAAATATGCACACGGCTCGTGAAACGCGGAAACGCGGACACGGTTCTGCGCGATAGATATATTAGCAGACGGGGGGATCGATAAATCGACCCGACATCCGGCGGGAAACCTCGACGCGCTGTGTGCCACCAATCAAATGTCTATCGCGTTCCTCGATCTCGTCACGGTTCGATCAGGAGGAAAGGGCAATCGCGCTGGATCTGTATTCTCTTTTCAAATAATTGTTACAGTTCCCAGGCACAGATCACCCCCCACTGATAGTATTTTCGAAGAGAAAAAATCTCTTTTGAAATAATTTCCCTAGATGTGTTGACGTGTAGAAAAATTTATAAATATGGGGGAGGGGAATTTTATTACAGATTTTGTAATAAAACATACAATAAAATACATAAATCTGCAAAAATTACAATTTGTTCCTGAGTAAAATGAAATCAAATTCGTAATATTTTAACAACTTTGGTTCGATTTATTTCTACGTTTAGTGCAATTTTGAATTGTTTGAAAGGGTAAACGAAAATGTCATTCGGTTATCTTTTTTTACATACATGGAAGGTTTAGATCGGGGCTCCCATGGAAAATAGGGCCCGGGGTTGCAGCCACCGCTGATCCGAGCGCCATTTTGGATCGGTTTCTCTCTTTGATCCCGTTCGTATATACGGGAATGAACGGGGAAGACAAATCGTTCGTGAAACACACGGGCAGGGATTTCGAGGGGAAAAGCGTGTAAGAATAAGTACGGCCAAGTTAAAACAAACTCGCGAAACTCGGCTAGCGAGCCGCCGCCGGGTGGAACGATTGATTAATATCCAGCGCAGCTGGCTACGGCACGCGCGGCCTCTGAAAAACCGTTTCGCCGGCGAAAGAACCCGGAGAAAGATTGGCAAAGTTCGAAGGAGGAATAGAAAACGGGACAAACGGGATATAACTCGAAAAGCGAACACTCCGCTCCGGGATTCGCCCAGCCAGCGCCGGATTAAGGGGTTGGGGGGGAGTAGATAGGGCTGC